ATTTCCCTTTAATATAAATATTAACACATTTGTGAAAATGTGAGATACATGTCCTTAAGTGCACGTTAAAAATACACATCACGTTTAGTTGTTACTTCGCGTCATTATTGTGAATTTGACTTATCCATTTAAAAGTTAAATTTAATTAAAATTGTTGACCTGACCGTTTCAAAGGGACGTCGAATATTCACCGACTCTACAAGTTTGCATTTATGTAAATTTACCTTAAACTGTAAAACAATGGGTTGTATAGCAGTTGTCGTACTGGCTGCAGAGCGTCTTACCTTTACCTACTGTGTGCAGAAAGCGAGCAGCTTCTCCTTCGATCCTTACAAGGTTCGTAGAACCTTGCCAGTCGTCACGTATGCAGCAGTGATTCTCAATTCGTCCGACATCCACAAAAAGATTCCCGATTGATTTATATTTTTCGCGTAACCTTGATCTTTCTTAATTTTTTACCGCGTAAAATCTACATTAAGATAGTACACTCGCAAATTGAAAACAGTCAAAATCTCTTGAAATTGAAACTCTACACTGTATACTAGAAGACATTGACATGCTTGTTCAATTAAATGAGAGTGATTGTTTCAATAAGATATAAGCAATTAAAAACTACATTTTTTACATGTGTTGCGTACACTTACAAAGTTCATGAAAATGTCGCATTTATTTTTGTAGGGCCTAAACTAGCAATGATATGTTATTAAAAAACTAGCATACGATGGAGAAACATGAAGCAGATATTATGAAAAAAATCTCATAACTTTTTACGTGTAGTTTGGAAAATAGAACTGTGAAAAGATTTTGCAATTTTCGTAAACATTTGTCAATCCGTCATATGAATTGAAAGGAGATTATAAATATAGTAATGAGCTAAGTTATCTGTATTCATTTATTTCCCACGTGTGCGTGTGGCCTATGGACATACAGGCGCAATCAAAAGTTATCTCTCACTAACGGGAGTGAGAACATCACCATCTAGCACGCGATGGGACCTAACTTTTGGATGATATTGTCGCGAGTGTACTACCTTAAAATAAATTAATTAGACATCATATTGGATTAAATTTTAAGCTATGTGTTAACATTTGGGATCCAATGTTACGTTTGGCGCCATGCGAGCGTGGGCGTCGCGAAACTCAAAGGATGATCGTCAGCAAAGGATGAGAGGGCACAATGCGACGACCGATACGGATCTTGTTCGTCACTCCTTACGATCTTCATTTATCGCTTACGCATCGTGAAGTGAATCGGTCTTTTCCTCCTGGCGGTGGATACGAAGAACCCGCGTGCCATCGTGAAAACGTAACGGGCAGCGTAACGGTGTTACTATTAGTGACCGTAACGTACCATGACAGACGCTGTCTGGTATGCATTAAAATGCCGCGTGTGACTTTTTTTGTCAAAGCGCAAAAGAGAAAAAAACGGAGGGTGCGAAATCGTTATATACATATAACACACTGTGCGCGCGCGGTTGCCTTAGACTTTGATCTAACAGTTTGTTCCGATTTTATTCCGCGGATAAGAACAAAAAACGCGAGATTGTTGGACGCATATATCATACATAAAGTGACCGTCAGAACAACCGTTACTCTTCATCTCATACTCGACGTTATGACCCAGCAAACACCAAATTACATGTCACGTACGTGTTAGTTGTAATTTCCCACTCAACAATATAAATATAACTGTGGTATAACAAGTGTGTTATATTACAGATATATTGTTGAGTGAGAAATTACAATTAATCAGTGTTGGAACGTATCTAGGTAAAAGTATCTAGATACAGTATCTAGTTACCTTAGCTGTACCTAAGTGCATTACCTAGATCCTTATAGGCGGAGATACCTATCCGTATCTAGTTATTCTTTAATACGGTACCTTTTAAGTTTTAGATACATAGATACAAGGTATTTATACACAAATACTGTCGCCGCCATTAAGATTGCTTTCCTACAAGCGACACAGTATAACACAGTGATCATCTCATCCTTGTTTAACATTAACGAACAACAAGGATGTAATGGTACATGGTGTGCCTCATACCGTGTCATCTGTGTCGCTTGTTGAAAAGTATATTAAATCAACTCAGAAATTAGCAATCTAGTACTAGTACCTATGCGCTGATATACTAATTAAAGACCGATATTCTTATGGTTAAAGCTGTTCATTAAAACTAAAAATTTATGTAATCAAGGGTAAGAAATTGATAACGAGTAGAATTAATTTTATGATTTATCAGTTTTGTAGACATGCATATGCATGTAAAACTAAATAATACTCGATTTTTATTTAAAACTATTAATGAAGCCGATTTTAATGTAATCATCTGGGTTTTGTTAAAATAAACAAATAAAATATGATATTTAATTTACGTTACTTATTACTTCTACTTTTCCTCTTTTCCCCCATTTTTCCTTTTTTTTTGTTGAAAGTATCTAAAAAATATCTAAATTTTCAGATACTTTTTATTTATATCTGTATCTATATCTAGGTAATTGTAAAAAAATATATCTATACTTCTATCTAGATACTTTTTCCACACAATACCTATATCTATATCTAGATACCTTTCAAACGGTATTTATTCCAACACTGCAATTAACATATACGTTACATGTAACTTGGTGTTTGTCGGGGAGTTATATAAGAATATTTTACGTGCCCGTTACGTCTGCAACGCATATTTGATAGAGCGCATTGATATCTCTAACTGTTAAAACAAAAAAGAATCGTAATAATTAAATTATAATTATTACGAAATCATCAAGAAGCAAAACACAGTAGAAGATAACTTTACTATTGAAAGAAATATTACGTTAGTATTAACTAAGCGATCGATATAACACACAATATTGATTTTATTGTATTCTTTTTTTATATCTACTTTTTGTAGAAAACGTGCATATAGAACATTTATTTTCTTCTTTTTTATTTTTAACAGCCACGTCCGCGACATCGTATTAATTTGTATAATGACTTCGATCTGTGAAATGTGAATTGACGGCATTGTTGAGTAAGTGGCTGATGCATCTGGCTGGGAAATCTCAATTCATAACAAATGCTGAAGAGCGAGAAAATGGAAATAAAAATCGTTATCTTGATGTTGAGCAACGCGTTCCGCGAAACTTGGAAATCACGCCGTGCGGTTTTCCGTGTCAAGAACGAGATCGCAATTTTACGGGTGAAGATACTTGAGAACGAGAACTAACAGAGAGAGTGAGAACAGCTGCCTCCTAGCCTTTTGCGTAGCAGATTGACGCTATCGGCGAAAGCTGAACGTCGTGAAGACGCTTTCAGGGCCGCACTAAAGGCTAACCTAAGTTATGCTTAGGGGCGGCAAATTTAAGGGAGCGGCATTTTTTTGAAAAAAATTATAAAAAGTAACCATCTTTGCCAAACGCGGATGATTAAAAAAATTGTCCATCGATCAACGATCAGTAGATTCGAGTCGAGGTTTCGCGATCTTCGTGTCAATTTCGTTTTACGGAGAAAAATCTGAAAGAGCCCATGCCAGTTTTTATCGTGCAATCGATATATAGGTACATAAATTGGAATGAAGTTTGCGGTAAAATTTATTATATTAACAAAAGGTTTACAAAAAAATCCCTTTTTTTGTCGTCGCGAACACAGGCTTGGAACATTCCAGTTTGAAGGTTAAATAGGGGAGGCAACGATTTAAGTGCCTAGGAGCGGTAGAAATCTTATTCTGAAATTCAGTATTAAGTTTATAGAATTAAGATTGAAAGCTTTAAAAAAAATATTTATATTCAGCAAATTATATGCTTAGTGAAGAGTTAAAAATTAGAATAATAAGCACAGCAGTAAGTGTCGAATCTCGATCGAATCTTGCAAGAGATGATGTTGCAATATGTTAAATAAAGACAGATGTATGCGTTTGAGTGAGACAGAATAATAATGTAAGAAATAAATTAAAGATATCACTATTATCGACATTTTTATTTGAAATTTAATAAGTTGATACCGATATTGATCAAGTTCGGCCATCTCTCCAGCATCCTTTTAACTCGCTACGTCTGATTAATCGCTGGCTACCGCGCGCGCGCGCGCGCGCGTCTGCAGCTGCAACGCGATGCATTCGCAAGGCTATAGTCAAGGACATCCGTACCGGTTGAGGCTGCGCTGGAACAGGATGCCAATGACGCGCTCCAGCTAGCCGCGAACGAGCTTCGCGCAATTCGCGGTTAGCACGTAACAGACGATTTAGTGTATACGGGGTCTCTAAAATCTGATCCTATCCCTGGATTTCGGAAACGGTTTTAAATATGGAAAAAAGTTTCAGGCAAAATTTGTAGAATATTAAAGGGAATAGATATTGAAAATAGATATTGACCTGACTTTCAGTGACATTTTGTGATCGATATTTTCGCATTATTTTAAATGTTATTCACAAAATGGGCACAATAAGTCTAGTTCTGAGTCAGGTGTATCGGAATAAGCAAGGAAAATGGAAGGATAGTGGCTTGCATCACAAGTCGAAGATTACGGATATCGCTTCCACTTGCATCTCTAATTGAGCTTCTCTTCGTGCCTTTCGGATAATTTTGATCTGTATCCGGCCTAAAGCAGAAATCGTAGGTAATTACCGTTACTAACGCTATACCTGGAAATTGCCGCGAGGCACTTAAACGGGTAGAGAGGCGATAAACCGAATTAAAACGATCGATCGAAGGTGCAGATGGGTGATGCAACATAATAATGGTGGTTGTCTCTCCTCCTACCCTCACCGCTTCTTTCCCGATAATTCCATCGCTTGTTAAAATAATGGTAATAATCTAATTGGTTTGCGCACGATAATTTACGCCGCTGTTAATCAGCCCGTAAACACAAGAGAAAGATATCAGCAATTAGTAGAAAAACTACTGACAAATATGAAGGAATTGGATTGTGAAGAAATGTACGTGTGCGCAAAAAAAAAACGCGTATATACGCAAAATGCCTCTGTCAATTGTAGAGGTAACGATTCATAGGGAACTCACCAGTTCGGTGGGCATGGTGTTGCAGGACCTGAGCGGCAGATTGTAAGTGATCGGAACGGGCTGACTCCTGTACTCCTGTAGACATGAACTGTTTTTCGATAAGCCGCGCGGATAGACCAGACCGTGGAAATCCGTGTTATGCTCCGTCGAGATATGAACGATTATCGATTCGCTCGCGCACTCGATCTGCACAGTGCTCGCTATCGCAGCGGTCGCTGAAAAAATGAGATCACAAATCAATGTTATATATATATACGAGGGTCGTCTGAAAAGTTTTGAGCCTAAGAAACAAGTAATTTTTCGGTCAAAAATTCAATTTTATTTTTCCACATAGTCTCCTTTTAAGTCGATACATTTTTTCCAGCGATGCTCCCACCCCTTTAATTCATTCAAATAATACTGAGCGTCTTGCTTTGCAAAATAGGCGTCTACGGATGCGATGACCTCGTTCGATGAAAATTTTTGTCCTCCGAGCCAAACTTTGAGCCTAGGAAACAGAAAAAAGTCGCTGGGGGCCAGATCTGGTGAATACGGTGGATGGTCAATTAATTCGTGAATTTTTATCATGGCGACTGCTGATATTCGATTTTTTCCATTTTTACAAAAACATTGACATTGACTGGCACAAATGACTGTCAAACAACAACTAAGCGCCGGAAGTAGCTATAATTTTCGCAGGTATCTTTCAAAGTATGTACGATTATAGTACCAAAATTGTTTTAACGAGTAATGCCATCTTCATGTTGAGACTCAAAACTTTTCAGACGACCTATGTATATATATATTTTTTTTTGTGTGTGCGCGCGCGCGCGCGCGTGTGTGTGTATGGGGTAGAGCGGAGCTTTTTCGTCCATTTCTCACGATAATGTTTATGTTTCTGATTATTATGTTGATTATTTAAAGGTTGTACTTGTTTTCAAGAAGCATTCATGATAATATAATGCAATTATTGTGCTATTTTTTTAGAATTAAATATTCGTTTTTGATCGTTGGCTTGCGACTAATTAAGCAATAAAAGTGCGATTCACGCACCAAATCGTGTAAGCGGTGCTTCTGTAGCGTAAAATCATACGGCGACTGCTGGGTGTTACAATTCTGTTCATCAAGTCTGCGCGATTGCATTATGATCAGCGACGAGAACTTTAATTAAATGTATGACGTAGCTGCTGCAATGGATCAAATTGCAGAGTCAGACCGTGTATTTTTGAAAATTAAACATGTAATGAAATAAGATATCATTAACAAGAACGATGGCTCGTATATCGTTGTTATTACCGTTGGAAATCGCAGGATGTATATCGAAACACATGTCTAATTTATATTTCTTATATTATATTCCATTTACGCTCGACAAACTAACGTTTCGTTAATACAATGGGGGAATATTAATCGACCAAATCTGCCATTACCAGCACTTAAAACGATGCTCATTCATCGCATTTAATAAGGCCGCCACAGAGTGAATTGTTACTCCGAAAAATTCATTAGAACCATCTCGACGAACGGGGGAAGCACGGCGTGAGTAAATTAGGAGGCTTGCATGTCTCTCTCTCGAACGATAATAACCATTGGCGGATTATCGTTATCAACCCGCAGAAAGACAATGATGAGAGAGTTATGAACTTAACTTGTTAACTTTGCAGACAATCACGTTGAGTGTACCGTCGCTCTCTTTCTTCTCTTGCCGTGACGTATCTTATCCATTATCCGTAATGGAAGTACCGCGACGTGTCAATGATTGCTTCCGCAAAAGAATATAAGATAAGACGAGTTTTTAAATTCATTACTTAAATTTATTTAAACCGATTTATGATATTTGAGGATCTATTATTTTATATGTATATATCGGAAATTTTTTTATGAATTACATATATTTTTTATTTTATAATTATATTTTTTTATCGCCAAAATATCAAACGACCTGAACGAAAAGTCCAGCATGGATCACCGGTGACGAACGCGGCATAGAACGTATTAATGAGTGGTTACATTCATGCGCGCAACTTTTATTCGGTTTTTTTTTCTTTCGCGATATAAGTATTATAGGTTTACCTCTCCGCCGTCCGTACATCACCCGTACTTTAACACACACACGGATACGGTATTCTTTTCTTTTTCCGTCTCTGACTCATAATCAGTGAGGTTCCAGAAGGGCGTAACAAAGGCGTGCCGAAGAAGACGTTCCCCCAAGTGAGTGCAATTTGCAAACGACACACGAGCCTTACTCGCAACTTCCTTCGCGTTTCCGGATGTGTTCTTTTTTCATTCTGTTTTCGTTGAATTTATCTTACGTGCTTCCGAGCGAAAATTGCTGCCGCACAATTCCTTGATAGCGGATACGCAATGAGATAGTCCGGGCGGCAGAGTGAAAGAATAGTGATTATTTTATAAAAGCTGGTTTTTTTTAATTTGATTATATTTAAGATAAAAATCAAAACCAGTAATTGAAAGAAGGGCTACGAGCCATATGTAATACAAAGATCATTTAATACCAATAACAAATATAATATAAAAAATGTTTAATATTACAGACGTTTCAACTTCGATCGGGTCATTTTCAATGTACATAGTCCAAGAATTCGGTAAAATTACAAAAATATATATTGATCGCATGCCCTATCGGTCGATGTGTGCAGTCCATATATAAAAGCATCGTTTTATGATCGACTTATAAAAGTGAACGCGTCTTATGATTTCAAGATCTACAATCTTACAAATAATTCAAATACAAACAATTGCTTTACAGTTTAGATTAATAATCATTATTATGCATACTTGATTATTAATCTAAACTGTAACGCAATTGTTTGTATTTGAATTATTTGTAAGATTGTAGATCTTGAAATCATAAGACGCGTTCACTTTTATATAAGTCGATCATAAAACGATGCTTTTATATATGGACTGCACACATCGAGCGATAGGGCATGCGATCAATATATAATTTTGTAATTTTACCGAATTCTTGGACTAACTATGTACATTGAAAATGACCCGATCGAGGTTGAAACGTCTGTAATACTAAACATTCTTTATATTATATTTGTTATTGGTATTAAATGATCTTTGTATTACATATGGCTCGTAGCCCTTCTTTCAATTATTGATTTATTCTGATTGTCTTTTTGATAATTTAAAAAATCAAAATGTTACACGGAGAGAATTTTTTCTTAGAGTTTACCCTGAAAATATGATAGTCGTGGGACAACAATGTATTTTCAAGAATTTAATGTAAATCTCAGTCATTAATAAAACTACAATAAAATATAAAATAAGTTTGATTAATTTTACTGAAGTGCATGGTAAAAATCTTTAAAATATATTGTATTGTATCATAACTACCATATTTTCGAGGTAAATTTTAAAACAAAATTTTCTCCGTATAGAGTCAAGTGATAGAATCTCTGTCGCCGGCACTCCTTCAAAGACGTAAAAAAGTAGTGTCATAAAAGTGTTTTATAAAAGTAGAAATTTATGTACGAATAGTTTTTTGCAACAAAATGCAGAAATATAATTGTCCGACAGCCCAACGTCAGAACGTGTCGTGTCAGCGCTGTCTTAAAGATATTTAAAAAAAATACAACGTAACTACTTCGTAAAATCTGAAATTTGATAGAGCACTAAATTATTTAATGTTATGTACGAAAAAAAAAGTCAAACGCCTTTCTGACGGGTCTCGATCTCGCCAGATGTGATCAAAGTAATGATGTAGGTTCGCGGGATTGCGCTATTCTCCATCCTAGGTCTCTAGGTAATTAATTATAGATAACAATTAGTAACGTAAATATGAAACAATGCATAATGAAAGTATCATTAATACTATGCACACAATGGGTGCAAAATTTACCACGGAAGAGCTTATTAGAAACGAGAGTTCTACAGTTTATTCACATCGTAAATGAAGGGTTTTATTCATGTAATAAATGTACGTCGATATCGAGGAATTAGCAGAACCGGTCGCAAGAACGGTGAAACTCCGGGCGAACCACGAAAGCCATAGTCATCATACAGGACACGCACAGTTATGCAAGAATCCGGTGTGCCTTTCGTGCATGAGATTTTAATACACCATGATGGACACGAGCAGCATAAGATATCGGGAATACAGCTGAACGCACCACGACGTTGAAACTTCCTGTCCTCAGCTCGCTTCACTGATGCGACTCGACACGGAGGGAATGTCACGCGGCGAATCGCGCACGCGATTCTCCGGAAAACACGTGGAAAATTGCACGAGTAATAGACCGTTCGGTTCTTATTATAACGTGTACACACGCGCGACGCCGAGATTATAGAATTTGTCTCTTCCTCAAGAAAACGATAAGAATTGCAAGAATTACATTTTCATCGAAATCATAATTACAACATCGCAAATCTGGTTTACGATTTTTCGCGAATAACCGATCCAATATAGATTCTATGCACACAAGATTGGCGATATAAATTACTATTACGGCGTCCGTAATAGTAATAGTTCCAACGATAATAAGCGACGCAATTATAATAAATCCTCCAGCGAAATAAGATTAACGATTCAAAATTTAGCGGCGATTAATTTACATAATCGTCGAGTCATCTCGCTCTCGGTGGATTTCGCTGCGCAAAACTCTCGTGGTGAAATCGGAAAGTTCGGCTGGTGCCTTGGAGAGAATCCGAGAGAGGAAAAACATTTAGGTCGTAACGTTCGTTAAGATTTTTGGCAGAGATCGCCGGATGTATCTTTACGAAATTTTGTTAAGCTCATCTTAAATCACAGATATATTAGCATTAGCGTCAAGTTTCGTAACACATTCATTCAACATTCAATGATCAGTACGACTTTCTAATTTTGTTGAGTTACAAGGATTGCATCTTTCGTCCGACTGTCAAATATATAAAATTGATTTATTTCTATTTCTATTAATATAGATTTACTTTAACCTCGTCGGTTTAACTTACTTTCTTTATTTTTTATCCATTTCTATTTCTAATAAGAAAAAGATAAAGAGAAAATTAAACTAAGATTAATATTAAAAATTACATTGATAGAAATTGATTATCAAATTCAAAGGAAAAGATGTAGTGGTATGTAGCAACTATAAATTATGGTCATTTATTATATTAAAGGTGAGAATTAAATTATATTCAAAGTTAGATGCACTCAGAGAAAAACATAGTGGCGATAACTATAAAAGTGACAACTACACGAGTTTTTTTTATGTAAAATTAATATATGTAAAATTAATAATTATGTACGTAATAAAATAAACTGTTTTATAGTTATTGTGAGTACAAAATAGTGTATTCAATTATGTATATTAATTCTACAATAAAACTTGTACTATTGTCACTTTTATGGTTGCTATATACTGTTAAATCTATATTCTCGTTCTTTGTATGTCAAATTTAACTTAACGTGAGTCGCCACTGCTCCTACTCAATCATGTCATTATTTTAGACTAAAACAATGGTTATAGTTGACACTGTACAGTATCAAATTAACATAACGTAATGTCAAATTTAATTATCGTTTTGGTAAAAAACGATATATTTAGTAAGAGCAGTGGCGATTCACGTTAGGTTAAATTTGACACTATAGATTTAATAATGCATGTTTTTCTCTGAATGCATCTACACTGTTAAATTTATAGTGTCAAATATAACCTACCGTGAGTCGCCACTGCTCCTACTCAATCATGTCATTATTTTAGACTAAAACAATGGTTATAGTTGACACTGTACAGTATCAAATTAACATAACGTAATGTCAAATTTAATTATCGTTTTGGTAAAAAACGATATATTTAGTAAGAGCAGTGGCGATTCACGTTAGGTTAAATTTGACACTATAGATTTAACAGTGTAGCTTTAAATATAATTTAATTACTGCTGTCCCGTACACAGAGAGAAAAATGTTTGGTATTTGTAACTATAATTATATATTACTATAATTATGATTATTACTACTATAATAATAATAACAGTAACTATATA